TAATAAAATGTTTTGAGACAGAAGTAATGTAAACAAACCTAGAGTCACATTGCAGCACATGAGAAGCTTATATTGCTTCTGTGGAGGTTCCGAAGTCACAGAGCTTAGTATCCCTGAGAACCAGCATGGAAGCCACCCAGGGCCTCTGCATTTCTTCCCTTACCTGTCCTACCTTTAGGCCATTAAAAAAAATTAATATCTCTATGGCAAGAAAACGTGGGTAAAGTGAAAGGTAACATGGAGAAGAGCTAATTCGTGACCCTTCTACTTTTTGTAACTCTTTTCTACTGGAAAGATGGAAAGGCATACTTCTCTCATTAATATCTAAAGGCAAAGGGAGTAAAATTATAACTCTGTTTTCAGAGGACAAACTAAGACCAATAAAAGAAAGTTATCAAGAGCCACATTTCAGTTCAATATGAGGAAAAGCTTTCTGTTTCATAAGAAGGAAGCTGGTATTGCAGTAGTGAGCACCACTAACTCAGAGGATGGACAAGCATGGGCTGGCTGTACTCTGCAAGGTGATGAAGAGAGAATTCGTGCTTAGTTTAGAAGTTGGAAATAGATGATCTGTGAGGTCCTTTGATTCACTAGAAAGGAAATTGAAATTGTCAGATTAAATAATTTAAAAAACTTTTTATTATGGAAATTGTCGAACAGATGCAGAGGTAGAGAGAATAGCATAATGAAACTGGTGTACCCATTATCCACCTTCAACAATTTATGATTCATCTTGTTTCATCCTGAAACATATCACAGACAGTATATTTTTTGTCTGTCAGTATTTATATCTGTATCCCTAAAAGATAAGGATTTGAGGAAGAAAAGATTAATAATGATGCAAGAAAGGTTAAGGTCTTCCTCTATGCTGCTGGTTGGAGTATAGATTGATTAACAGATTAATTAAAATAAAATTTATTAATAGGTTATTTTGGAAAGCAGTTTTTCAGATTTCCAAAAAGTTCGCAAAGTTTAATTAATATCTTTCGATTCTTTTCCAGGATTTTATACAAAGTCATAATCTTAATATAGAAAAAAAACTTTAGGCATAAAGACATGTCTTTTATGCAGTATGCTCTCAACGATGTAAAATAAAAATCTGCACAAAAAGATTGGAAAAATGCATTAAATTGTTAACAGTGATTCTCTTTGAATGGTAGATTATGGGTGATTTTTTTACTTCTATATTTTTAAAAGTTTCTTCAATGAGCATGTACTACTTTTACTTAAGTAAGACAAGAACAATAACAGAAAGAAAACAACTGAATAAAACTGTATAATCTAAAAAACAAAAATCACCTTAATCAGCAGTTCATAGATCCCCCCAAGTTTCATTTGTCCATGCTCTTCTGAGAAAAAAGTTTACAATTAGATATGCTTTTACTTTTTTGGTATAACTTTTTTACTAATGTATGTAGTCAAGTTTATAGATTGAAGAATAATTCAGGAACATAGATTTTTCTTAGAAGAACATTTATATAGACATTCCCTGCTAAAAATCATTGTTTAGGGTAAGTTTGCAAACAGATATATAAATCTGCAGTTGCTTGCTCTATGCCCTTGGCAGGTATTGCTCATGGAAAACATTACCTTCCCATCAAAGGTACTTGGCCTTCAAATCCTCTTTAGCCCAGAATTCTAGGCAGCCACTATAGGTCCTCATAATAAGACTTGTTTGCCAATCTGGGTCTTAAGACAATCTTCTTTAGGCTAGTGATATACAGAAATAAACTAAAATATTGAGTTTTTTAAAACTCCTTCACATGCAACTGTCTTTTCAGCTTTCTAAGTTTTCTTTCTGCCTTTTAGGTGATGGAAGCTGTTTCATTGTCCAGCAGGACTTAGACTATGTCATTGAGCTCACTGGGACTGACTGTGACCCTGTATATAAGGTACTGGCCTGATTGGAGACCAGGCCTGGGTGATTTTCACCTGGGACCTAGGGGTTTGGAGGGGACTGAATACAGCTACTTTGTGATCATAGGGGTGATACATTATTTAGGGGTGGGATAGAAAGAAATCAGAATTTTGAGTCAGAAGTGACTGCATCACTTACTAGCTCTAAAAACTTGAAAAATCCTGTCCTCAATCTGTTAATTCATCTATAAAATGAGGATAATAGTGAGATAATGTATATGAAAGCTCTTTGTAAATTTAAAATATTCTATAAATATCAGCTATTATTTATTATTTAAAGTTCAAGACTGATTATCCCATTTAATTAGAATGGAAAGAGAAAAATGAAAGGGGAAATAATATTTATTGACCAGACATTATGCTGGATATTTCACATATATTATCTCATTTAATCATTGTTATTATTCTTTGAGGTGTAGGTATTATTCCTGTTTTTTCTTATAATTTAAATATACATATACAATTAATACATACCTATGAAAATCCAAACAATAAAAAAATTATACTGACTTAAAAGTCCCCTTTAAGACCTTTTTAGTTCAACATTTCTTTCTAGAAGAAACTAGCATTAACATTTTGGCACATATCTTTCAAGACTGTTTTTGTGTTTATGTGTTTATGTAAATAATATAGTTTTATCTTTGGTTTGTACATAATTGGGGTCATATTATATGTTTTGTCCTATGACTTTTTTTTTTTACTTAATATCTTGGAGCTCTCTCCAGACAAATGCATATAGATCCACTTTATTTTTTTTAAATTCCTACGTAGTGTTCTACATTGTGAATTAACATATTATTTTCATTTTACAAATGAGGAAAGTGGGACGCAAAGGAGTTGAGAAAGTTGCCCTAGTTCATGCAGCTGCATATTAGCAAACTTGATATTCAGCTAACTCCAGAATTCATGCTATTTTCAGTAAGTTAGTAGTTCTTAACCATCTTTGAATCTCAGACTTCTTTGAGAAGTCAATGAAATCCTCCTCATTAAAAAAAAAAAAAGACATATATTGAGAACTTCTTTGTGTACAATTTTATTAGGTTCAGGGATACCCAGGCCTTCTGTGGACCATCTCCTCCCCAGGTACAGGCCCTCTGCACTAAACCATGCACAGCATTAATGAGTTTGCTGTCCACTTGGACAATTAGTTTCCCTGTTCTTCAGTCATAGTGCCCTTGACCCTGGCCAGCCATTTTTTAAATATATATCATGGATGTAATTCTCTTGTCTTTGAAGTCAGTAAAGCTTCTCAGATATGGTACTACTGAATGACAAGGCTCTGTCTTTTTGAAATAGAAGAATCCCAGGCTTACTTTGAGCCTGGGATCAATGGGAATGGAAGATTCCCAGACTTACTTAGAGCTGTGAACTCTTGTGTTCCAGGTAGCCACATGGGAGAAGCAGATATACACATGTTGTCGAGATGGTCTTGTGCGACGCTATCAGCTCTCTGACCTCTGATTCCTTGGAAAGAAGAGTCCCAGTTAATGAAAAACATTGACTCTGATCAACAATGAGCAAAAGCATCATCATTCTTTCCCAAGGACCATGACCCTTTATTGTCTTGGGCACGCTTCGGAAGTCACAGAAAGTCAGCTACATAGGCGATGTTGCTATTCCATGACAAGACTTACTTTGAATTGAGTAAGAAGGTTTTGTGTGCTCACTGCATTTGCCCCAACTTCTTGTATAAACACCCCAGCAACACAGGGCAAAGTTATGAATTGCTTACAGTTTGATCTTACACCTGTTGTGTTAAAAGTTTACAAGGACCAGAGGACGAAAACCTGTTCTCTGAAGGAAATAAAGAGAATATGTTTGGAGGAGTGTGAATTTGAAAAACATTGTTAAACTTCTTACTCCAGCAACAAGTCAAGCTGATGGAGCTTCTTTCTCAGGTGCTTCCTGTTGTCCTGGCCATAGAGCAGGACTGCTTGACAATAGCAGTAAATATCCCATAAACAGCAACCTGGGAAAGATTTTTATACAGATATGGTAACCAACCATCCCAGTTTCCTCGGACTGAGGGGTTTTCTGCTACATGGCACTTTCAGGCAAACCGACATGGTTGGTCAGCCTGTATACAGGTGATGAAGTTGAATCATATTGTAAAGGCAGTGGCTGTCAAAAGGTAGTCCCGGAAACAGGTGCATCAGTATCACCAGGGAACTTGTTAGAAATAGAAATTCTCACGCCTCAAACCGAAATCAGAAATTCTATGAGTGTGGCCCACAATCAGTATTTCAAGAAGCCTTCCAGGTGATTCTGATGCAGGCTAAAGTTGAGACCTAAAGGAAAAGATGGTAAAGGGCACTTTAGTCATAGATGGAACCCAGAGTTTAAGAAGGCAAGGCTGGTCTGTATGCGATGAGTTTGGAAAGGTTGGCAGGGCCCGAATAGTGTAGGGGCTTCAATGCCAGGTGTAATGAGCTTGAACTTCACTTGGTTGGCAGTGGGGAACTGGAGTTTTTAAGCAAGGTATGACATAATCACTTCTTTTTCTCTAAACATAAAAATGGAATCATAATGTATATATTCCATTATTTTCACTTAATATTTCTGAGTTCTTCCCATCACAGTACATTTAGACCTTCCTCATTCTTTTTAAATAATTTCCAGAGTATGAATACCAATCATTTACATTTTAGAGGTTATTAGAGAAAAGGTTTCTTGGAGCATGCAACACTTGAGCTGGGCCATGTAAGCTGAGATCTGGATTTATTTAAGGGAAGAAGATAATTCCTGGCCTGGGTAATAGTGTGGTTCACAGAGTTTTTAAAGATAAATTCTTATGTAATCTTTATTTCTACACTGTGACATACAGGTAGTGAGACTCAAAAGAGATGAAATGATTTGTCAAGGGTCATAGAGAGCGGGAACTTGAACAGTTTATCTTAACTTTAAATTTCATTTGTTTCTCCCTGTTGCTTATGCCTAAACAAAATTATGAAAATAAAATACTATAATTCATTGAGTATTGGGTATCTGCTCTGTTCTAGTTATTATATTTATTTAATCCTCATAACACTGTTAAAAAGGAAATGAAATTATTCCTGTTTTAACAGATAAAGAAACCGAGGCTCAAGAAATTAAATACCAGAGCCTTGATTTGGACCTTGCTCAGTCTGTCTCCAAGGCCTGTGCTCCTTCCACTATACCATGTGGTTACAAGACCTCTGGGACTAGAGCAATTTCATTTAGGGAGTGATTTGTTTTGGGTCAGATGACCCAAAGGTACATATTCCAGAGCTTAGAAACATGGACTCCTAGGATGTCTGGGGGTACCTCTAATAAGTCAGATTAAGAAAACATGATGAGGAGGAGGGTATGGCTGAGTTCATTACACAGCAACTGTGTCTCTGAATTCCCATTCCAGGACTCACTCTTCTCTATTGCCATCACATTCATGAGCCCCTTTTCATAGGTCTCCAGAGCTAATATTGTGGTTGTGATGGGTGCAGTAGCCCTTGACAACTGCTGTGAAATCCAGATCCAAACAAAAAGAGCAGAGGCTAGCTCTTAAGTGCCCCAAACCCTTGTCTTTTGTGAATAATCCCCAGTTTGCAGCAGACAAAGCTTGTTTTTTCTTTTGGGTTGAGGAGTGCATTCTGGGTAAGGAAGAGTGAACAACCCCCATACACACCACTACAGGCCTTGTGAATGTTTCTTGGTTTTCAAATGCCCCCTTGTGATTTCTTGTGTGAAGTGCATCTGTTTCTCAAGCTGGCAGTGGCGTCAGCTATTGAGCATGGACTCTGTGCCAAGCAATTCTTCACAATAGCCTTGCAAAGTAAAGGTTTCTTTTTTGGAACAATATATTTTATATACTTTTTTTCTAACTTACTTTTTATTTTGAAATAATTTCAAACTTGCAGAAAAGTTACAAGAATAGTACAAAGGATTCCAATGTATCCTCACCCAGATCTCTGTTAACTTTTTCTTATGTTTATCGTTCTCTCTCTCCACCCCTTCCCCCAATGGTACTTTACCTCTGTGGTCTTCCTTCCAAAACCACACAGCCCCCAGTCTACTCATAAAAAAGAAAAAAAAAATCCCACTTGAGAGACATTCTCCAAAATAAATGACCAGTACCCTTTAAATTATCAAAATCATCAAAAACAAGGAGTTTTGAGAAACAGCTATAGCCAAGAGGAGATATGACAACTAAATGTAATGTGGTATTCTGGATGAGATCCTGGAACAGCAAAAAGACATTAGGTTAAAAACTAGGAAATATGAATAAAGAATGGACTTCTGTTATAAATGATGTATCGATATTGGTTATTTGTGACAAATGTACCATACTCATGGAAGATGTTAATAATGGAGGAAACAGGGTATGGGGTATTTGGGAACTTTGTATTATATTCCCAACTTGTCTGAAAATCTAAAACTTTTCTAAAATATTTTTTTAAAAACAGCTAAATGTATTTGTTCTGAAAACTTTTAATTAAATTTAATTGCTACTCTTCATAAAAATTCTCTGGTTTCTGAGTTGAGTGACCTTTATCAGGGTCACAGAATCAGCTCCAGTTCTAGTCCTTTCATTCACTCTTCTGTAAGGCAGGGCTGAGAAGGTGGTTTGCCTAGGCAAGAATGACTACAACTCCCAGAGTGCCCCTGTGTGGTTGTCAGGAGCAACCAAAGAACACAGACTAACAGCTCTGCTGGAATCAGGACTATCTACCGACTGCCAACCAACCATGGGCCAGGATTATTACTCTATACTCCACATCACTCGTAATTCAGAGGATGCCCAGATCAAGAAGGCGTAAGTTGGGGCCTTAGGGGTGTGCTGGGGCAGGCCCTACCTTCATTTCTTCCAAACTGAGCTTTCCTGCACAGTTTAGGGCAGGCAAGGTAAACCTCGTTCCTTCTCTTCTTGTCCACCTCCGGCTTTGGGCTAGGTCAGGGTTCTCAGTCTGTCACCCTTTACCCTGTCTCTTCTCTTGGGTGCCCTGGTTTTCCTAGCAAAGAAAGGACAAAGGAGGTATTTGAACTTTATCCTGACTATTATGGAGAACCAAAGGATTTCGAACAAGAGAGTGACCTAGCCAGATGCATGTGTTACAAATTTATTTTTGGCTGTCACATGGGATTTGGGCATTGAACAAACTGTATCAAGTCTTGGGGACTTTGCGGTTCATTTCTTAGAAAGCCCAGGGTAGAAGTCAGCACAATTTTTCTTTAAAAAAATTTTGGACAAATACTTAATGAGCAACTACCATATGGGTCAGGTACAGTCTTAGCAGCTGGAGATATGACTCTTACAGAAATGGAACTTAATTCTGTTGGTGAATATAGGTGTTCAATAAGTAACAAGTATGATGAGTGCTAGGGAAGTACTGGTACTGTGGAAGCTTATGTTGGAAGGAGAGAGACCCCTTCAGAGGCTGTCCTGATAATCCAGACAAAAGATAAGGCTTGAAGTAGGGCAGTGGACTGGTGAGAGGGGAGAGAATGGACTTGGCAATTAATTGGATCATTGGAGGGTAAAGAAGAAGGAAGGAATCTAGGATAATTCAATCAGTTAAGGTTGGGTGGTGATAATAGCTATATTTATTGTACTGTGCAGGTGCTGTTCTGAGAACCTTCCATCATTATTTCATTTAAGTCTCACAAAAATCCTGAGAGGTGGGTGCCAAGGCCACCTGCCTAGTAAACAGCAGAGCCAATATTAAGACACCATGCCCACTATAGTTACCTACCATATGGCAGCTCCTGTAGGGGATCTACTTGGGGTAAGTGGAGAGAGTCTACACTGTGGTTAGAGAAACAAAACACAAACTCATGAAACAATTAGAGAACAATTTAGGACAGTGTGTGATGTCACCCGCTTTTCAGAGCGTTTCATTGACCAGTGGGACCCATCTAGAAAAATGTCACAAAGAGGAGAGGCAGTTGGAATGCAGAAAGATAAGTTCAACTTAAGCATTTAAAAGACCCATGTCTGAATCCAGGTTCTCCTATCTCCTAGCTGTGTGACATGGGCAAATTACTTAACTTCTCTGAGCCTTAGTTTTTCCACCTGTAAGTAAGTAAGTAAGTAAACAAACAAACAAATAAATAAATAAATAAATAAATAAATAAATAATAGATAAGGTTTATTATGATATTGAAATGGGATTATATGAGATAATGAGCTTAAAAATGCCCAGCAATTATTTGCATTTGAAACTATATCATGTAAAGAGTGATTAAAAGAACTACATACGTTTCGAACAACAATGCTTAACTCTTTTTCCCCTGCAGCAGCTTTTAAGGGATGAATCACATGTATAACACACTCTCTCATTGGAATATTTAGATTTTTGAAACACCCCCCCCCCCGAAAAAAAGCTGAATTCACATAACAAAGATTCATAATCACTTGGCTATTGACCTCCTGAGTATCACTAATTCACTGTAGGCTGCCACTTCAATGCTGTGACTCCACTCACAGCAGGTGAATGAGAGTGATATTACTGCAGGGAGGACTTTAAAACCACTCAAGTTATATGAAAACCAGAACTCTTCTCAAATGTCTACTTTTACTCATTGATAGAATTTACTTGCAATTCCCCTTGTAACTGACTGCGACCTCTGTAACTGAAAAAGACCTGGTTTAGAAGTCTCAGGAAGGTTGTGACAATTGTCTTCAAGCCTCTCAAGGTAGACAGAGCAGATTCTCTCTGTAAGGCCAAGGGCCAAGCCAGTATCCTCGTGGATGGAGGCAGAGTCACAGGACAGCAGACCCAGCTCAGCAAGAGGAAGTGTTGCCTAAAAGTCAGAGTGGTCCCACAGAGAGATGGGCTGCTTTGTGGGACAGTTAGTTCCCATCATTCATTTACTCACTGCTGCTCAGTGATAGCTACTGGGGACACAGAGAACTGGACACAGCAACTCAAGAACTCATGGGCCAGTGGGAGAGACAGACCAGTCAATAAACAATTGGAGCACTGTGTGCTAAGTACTGAGATCAAAGGCATTGGGGCAGGAGAAAGAGGAGTCTAATTACAATAAGGCTGCAGTCAAGGAAGGTGTCCTGGAGATGACCCCTGAGCTGAATTTTGAAGGATGAATAAAAATTTGCCAGGAGGAGATAGGAGGGGATAGAAAGGGGTGAGTGTTACAGGAACAGGAGTAGAATGTCAAAGGCATGAGCAATGCACTGAAGGGAGTCAGGGCAGGAAGGGTTAAGGGAAAAGGAAGAAAGAGCTGTGAGTGAGGATGCCAGAGAAGCAGGGGCTTGAATTTTAGAGAAAGTTGGATTTTGTGCTGAAGACAAAGGGTGAACCAATGAAGGTCTTAGGCAGGAGAATGACTAAGTCAGGGAGCATTTTAGAAGCAACAATTTAAAAAGAGAGAGCAAGCCCATGACAGCACACAGAATGGTTTGTAGAAGGGAAAACCAGAATCAGGGAAGAACTGGTTCTGCACTATTTGTAGGGATGAAGAGGCAGGAACAACAGAACTTTAGTTAGAAGGAAAAATTGACATGTCTTAACGATGATGGGATGGGGGTGGAGGGGACGAAGAACTTGGAGTCCATTAAATACTCAGCTTTCCAGCTGCAGTGCCTGGACAAATGGGGGCGGGGAAATTAGGGAATGAAAATGTATTTATGTTTGGGCTCATAGAGTCTGTGGGGCCCATGGGACATTGGAGAGGAGATTCCAAGTGGGCAACTGGATACAGAGTCTGAAGTTCAAAGAAGGAACCTGGTTTGCGATAGAGATTTAGGAGTTGTCAGTGAGTAGGTGGTGGTCAGAGCCGTGGGATCAACGAGCTTGTCTGTAGAGAGTGCCTGGAGTGAGAAGTGCCGGAACCATGGAAGGTGTGAGCTCTTCCAGGAGCTGCACTCAACTGAGTGGAGAGCATGTGGGGTCAAATTTGTACTGAGCAACTTAGGAGGCTGTGCCAAAGCCTCCCTTTGCTCCTCCAGACCCTCTCCCTGCCGTTCGGCACCCTGCTCTCTGCTCTGGAGGCTGACCTATCTGAACTGCATAGACTTCCTGGCCCTTAGGCTTCCTAATGTATTCTGCTAAAGGGAACCAAGGCAGGAGATTGGGAGAGAGGAGAGTGGGTCTGGGATATTCATTCCCAGCTCCCTTCCTGTGAGGTTGGCTATGTCCCTTAACCGAAGGTTACAATCCTTGCCAAGGACCCTGCCACACTCTCTCCTGGAGGATTCCTGTAACCTCTCCTCGCCTCACTCCTGTAGACTCAGGAGTGGTTAGGGCACCTCAGGACTCCTGGCCTCTGGTACTGCACTGTCCCTGTGGTTTCCCACCCACTTCCAACACCTTGGTGAGTGGGCCCTCATTAAACTCTCCATAAATCACTTAGTTCATGCCACCTTTTCCCTCCTGGGACACTGATGATAGATTCTCAGATACTGTAGGCATCGAGTCACTGAGTGGTAGGATTGGGCAGATACGGAAGTGGGGAAAAGAATGAGCACAGAGATGGGAGACAGTGAAAGGACCTGACATGCACTGAGTGGCTTTCTGTACCAGGCCCTTTGACACCTTATTTTATCTAATCTTTCCAAGAAGATTGTGTATAGGTTGAGACATCAAGGTGGGATTAGATGTGCAAGATATATATTGGGGGAAACACTTGTAGGAGTGAAGGGGGAGCAGGAGTATGCAGGGAGAGCCTTCAGACCACAGTGCAGGTCTGACACCTGTGTAAGGAGAGAGAGAAAGAAGGGTTGAGGAGGGAGGGCTGCATTGTGGTCTGGAGGAATCTCTACCAGGCCGATGGGGAGTCCTCAAGCAGAGGTTGTATCTTGGGGGTATCCTGTGTCCTGCAGGGCTGAGCCACCACTAATATCCTCAGCACTCTTAGGCACTGGCTGGGAACGGCTGGGGTGGGGGTGTGGGAGGTGTGCAGCCTCAGCGCAAATGACCAGGGGGCAGCTGCTGGAGCTGTCAGTCAGCCATGCTCCCTACACTGGGTTCTCTCCAAGGGAATTTGAGCAATGTGCCTCCCTGACCATCACAGCTGGGAACATCAAAGCTCCGAGAGGCCACCGGTTAATAGATAATAGAGCCAGCTCTGAACCATGGTCAGCACTCAGGAACATGTGAGCTTTTGTGACTTTTATTAACTTTCCCTCTTCAAGGTACCGGAAACTTGCCCTTAAGAACCACCCGTTGAAGTCCATTGAGCCATCCTCAGTAGAGATATTCAAGCAAATAGCAGAGGCATACGACGTGCTGAGCGACCGTGAGTGAGTGGAGCCTGGAGGAGTGACTCCAGGACATCTCCCCTGTCCCGCCTCTTCATTAAGATCATTCCTTAAGTCTCTGAGTGTTAGGCTTTCTGAGCGGCCCTTACATAAAGTAAGCAGAATCAAAACAAACAGAAAGAGAATGAAGAATTGCCTTTCTCAGTAAACACAAGCTAAGGTGGAGGACATGGTGTGGAAAGTCTCCAGATTAGGCTAATGTGCTTACCCAGTCTCATGAGGGCAAAACGAAAGGCGCACCCCCCATGCCCCACCATCCCCTGCAAGGATGGAAAGAACGCAATGCTTGTTGCCAAGGGAAGAATGCTAAGGCTGAGACCCAGATTATTCTTCCCAGATTTACCCAGGTGCTACATCTCCATTTCCCTGAGGATAGTGCATATAAAGGGGGCAGAAAGAGGCCGGTAATTAGGAACTCTCTCTCCTATAGAAACCAAAAGAGTGAGGAAAGTGATTCTTTGCCCCTGCCTGGAGCAGTGCTCTCGTGGGTTTCCCTAGGCTTGTCCTGGAAACTTCAATCAGAGACACTGTGCACGAGACTGGCCAGATCACTAAGGTTTTACCAGTACCAAGTTTTCAGGACTTTAAACTCTAGAATTTGGAAGCTCTAGAATTCTTAGATTCTAAAATTTCAAAGGTCTAAGATTCTATTTACCCCCAGATAAGACAGCAGCTATGATGACTGAGTTAGGCTAAATCCCAGAAGACGCTCGGTCTCTCTGTTTCTACTCCAGTCCCCACGCCTCCCCGAGCAAGTCTCAGTCTTCTCCCGTCTCTCCTTGGGGCTATGGGGCATACCTAGGTCCACCCGCGATGAAATCTTTAACATTTAGGGTCTCCTCCCAAAGACTGCCAGACAACAGACACTTTAGAAATAAGGCTGATTTTGCCCCATGCTCTTCCCGATAGCCTCCTCCTTCCCAGCATTCTAGCTATCGTAGCCCCCAAGACTGTACCCCTCCTCACGGTGACATATATCCACAGCTGTGAAGAGAGGCATCTATGACAAGTTTGGAGAGGAGGGTCTGAAGGGCGGGATTCCTCTGGAGTTTGGATCCCAGACCCCATGGACAACTGGTTATGTCTTCCACGGCAACCCTGAAAAGGTTTTCCATGAGTTCTTCGGAGGAGACAACCCCTTCGATGGTGAGAGGTCCTCCCTACCACTTTGCCTTACTGGGAAAGGATGCAGCTGTAAAGATGCTTTTCTTACAGTAGTTTTTAAAAAATTGTATATATAGTACACGGTAAAAAAATATAAAAAATTTATTGAGGAAGAAATAAATTCCTTCCTCAGAAGCAGCCACTCACTGTTAACATTTTATGTATTAGTCCAGAAATATTCTATGCATTTATGAGCATATATTTATTTTTACATAAGCCTTTTATTTCATTAAGGAAATGAGACCACATCGTACACACCAATTTTTTCACCTAATATATATATATATACATATATATCCATATATATGTGTATATATATACATATATATGTGTGTATATATATATATAATATCGATCTTCATTCATCTTAATGGCTGCATAAGATTTTATTGCACAGGTGTGTGTTAGTCAGATGAGTGCATGGATGGATGGGTGGGTGATCCCAGGTCCCAGATAGACTGACAAGGAGTTGATTTCTGAGGCTCAAATCATCTTGCAAGAACACTTAACACTCAGACCTTCCTTCCTGGCTCCAGTTATGAAACTCAAGAGAGTCTAGATTTTTACTGCCTGGCTCCCCCAGTCCTTTCTTCCATACTATACTGCAGCCTTTCTGCATTTCAAAAGTCCTCTCTTTCTCTTTTCCATGTTATTGTCATAAGTGGGCCCACCTTAGAGACCCTTCCCACTGTACATTGCCTTCACCTGTCTGCCAGAGGAAGCTGGGTTTATAAATTCCATGTGAAACTGAGAAAAGCAAGGAACCTGGAGTCAGAGAGCCTGTTTTAAATCTATGTGCTGCCACTTATGAGCTGTGTGATCCTGGGCAACTCTCTTAAC